AACAACAATAAAGAACGATAACAATGATTTTTCACTTTGGCAAAATTGTTGATGAATATGGCATATAGTTGAAGTGGTCAGACATGTGAACAACAATAATTGATACTCCCTCCATTTTGAAATATAAGGCATTTAAGATTATTGCACAAATATTAAGGAGCCATTAATTAATGAATAAATTGATTAAATTAACCTTATTTACTCTAATCACAACCACTCCACACTTCCTTAATTTCAACACAATGAGGGTATATTTGGAAAAAAATGCAAAAATTTGTCTTGATTTTTGAGCGCGCCTTATATTTCAAAAAAAATGAGAAATCTTTATACGCCTTATATTTCAAAATGGATGGAGTATTGAATAAGATCGATGGTGCAATTATCAAATTTTCATCAACAAAATTGATAAATAAATCAACGAATACAATAGTCAACGATGCGAGTCAACTACATCGAGGGTGATGAAACCCAAAATGATTGATGTGAGGAAAAGCAATGATTCAGATTTTGACCCCTAAATTGAGCCTCAACAATTTGCAGTTTGCACCAATAATTCTTGTTGAATAATTGTATATATTATAGAAAAAAAATAAAATAAAAAATAATGATAAACTAGTAGATATACTATTCCAAAGAAAAAAAATTGTTACAAAAAGATAAATTAGATTTTCTGTCAGGCTATTAGACAACTACTTTACCAATATATTCACATATTTTCATAATCAAAATGTCAAAACCATGCAATATAAATAAAAAATAAATATACTTTTTAAAGTATGGCTGAGTGCCGAACCTAAAATAACCTGTATACCCGACTTTTCAATTATATTACAATTCATTATCATTGATCCAAAAAAATAAAATAGTTGCTCTAAGTAATTAATTGATTATTTGATCATTAAAAGCTTAAATGAAAAGTCTAATCATACATTGGACACAAAACAATTTATTTATTTTTTTCTTTAAGATTATAGAGCCTATCAAGGAAGGAATTACGCAAAGCAACACAATAAATAAAAACAAAACAAATAAACACAAACTAAAACACATATAATAATAATATTTAAAAAAAAAAACATAAATTAAACACATTATTTTCTTTAAATGAACTCACATTCACGATCGTCTTGCAAACTCTACATTATCAACAACCACCATTATCTTCTTTTTTCGCGACCTTCTTTTCTAACAGTTTATATTATGAAATAAGATACTTAAATATTGGCCCTACAAAAATGATGCTTTTTTTTTATTACGCTCATTAAT